AGAAAGGACTTGTATCGCTAAAGTTTGGTTTTCATGATCCATGGAGGAGGTAGTGTTGTGAATATGTTTTAATAGTTTAAGCACTGGCGTATTTGACACTTCAAACTACTTGGTGCAATTTTCTTAGGGAACCCGTCCGTACTGATCAGCTGTAAATATAGAAATTTAAGGGTTTTTTTAGATTACTTTGGGGGCCCATAAGATGAGGAGCATCTTGGTGCACTGCTCTGACATTAAATACCCCTCTGAGTTTAAGTTAGACGCTTTGTATTTTTTGCTTGAGGGAGCTTTGTCATGATGGAGTGACGATGTGTGAGGCTTAGTAATTTCCTGAGACTGTAAATTTCACCTTACTCCTAAATTTTCTAAATATTTTGAGAGGAAAATATAGTAATAATATAGTTGTAATGCTGTTCTTTCATCGGCAGGTTCTTTTCAATTAACTAGTAAAACTGGATAACTCAACATTCAGTCAACGTGAGGATAATAAATTATTTTATTTTATCCTTAACATTTCTTCAATCTTGAACACTTGTACATTGTCGTAACATGGTGTAGGCCTACATTACAAAACTTCTCTAACAATACTAAGACTAACGTAAAATCAACATACTTGTACAAAGTAACTTTATAAGCGCAATAGTAAACACAAATCCAAATACTTCACAAAAATAGCTCTATATCTTCAAATAACCTTGTACGCTCTTAACTGTATCCTTCACTAACTTTTAACTCACTTTACACTTGACACAACTATCATGTATTTATAATCTAGCTGGCACAAATACTTAGATAGTTCTAGGCCTATTTTAACGCCATCATTTACGAAACGTACATTTAAAAATATAGCTTATAACAATAACAACACTAGAGAGTTTTAGTTAGTTAATAAATCTATTACTTAGCAGTTTTGAGCCTGCGTCTTATATTTATGAGATGAAATTTAACAAGTAAGTGATTGTTTAGATTTATTTGTGGGTGAGCTTATAGAACTTGTGGTAGAATTAATAAAACCTTTTCTATTTGGTTAAGTGGACTGGACTTTTGCTTATTTTTACCAAATAATAAAAAGAACTCGCCGAATGACAGAAACCGTTACAGCAATATAATATTTTTCATTATGGGTTTTCTTTGTCACATGCTAGTTTTTTACATTAATTTACACTTTCAGTGTAACAGGTTAGCTGATTTTTTATGTACAGACGTTTCTACCTTTTTTTTATTTAATATCCATTTCCGTATCATATTATGTTATGGAAGTAAAAATAAACTTTTCCTCAAAATAACACGTTAATTGTTGTGATAAAATATATTAAAGAAATACATTCATTCGACTGTCAAAGGCTAAATTTTTAAAAGTTAAGAATAACTACATGGAATTTATGATGTCAAGATAATTCTGCAAAATTGTTTATTTAAGAATTGCTTCAAGCCAACGGAGTGGCGGTTTTCGACTGTATAACACGATTTCTGCGAAAATTCTTCGATTTTTTTCGAATATGCTTCTAAATTATTCAAATAATCAACATATAATATACGTTTCATTGTTCAAAACGTTACTGCAAAATAATGATTATTAAATTGATGATATTTTCGCACGTCGAGAAATATAACCGTGAGAGGGCGAGTCACTTCTAAGAAAATTTCAGAAGAGAAGCGTAAGGCGCTTTTAGCTTTTTCGTTAAACCGAGAGGTATTGAGATGCTCGAATGATAAAGGTAAGAGTGCTAGGTCTAATTTTATTAGACTAAATTTTGAACAGTTTAACGACTTTGCGAAAACAATAGAAATAACCCACTGGTGAAAATGGAAAGAAGCTGTCAGATATAAACTAAAAGCAGGGCGTTCACTGTAACAATGACATCGGTTTCCTACTCTTACTCTTTTTTTATAGGAGTAGATTACATATATATATATATATATATATATATATATATA